CCATGTCATTCTTCTTCTGCTGTCCTCCCCATAAACACACACAGAAGCCACAATTCCTAAGAATGCAGAGGAGCTTATATTACTGTTTAATGTCTGCTGAAACTGGGTTTAAAAATTAGCATTCCTTTCTTCATTTGCAGTAATCAGCAATATTAATAATTTCATTAGACTTAACTATATCTAGAGATATAAAATTAAAACCCGAAATGACTGTAGAGAAAAGAAACCGCAAACCATAACGCTTCCATCACCGTTTCCCTTCGAGTTTGTTGTTCTTTTGTTGATGTGTTGCTGCTTTTATAGCAAACATTTATTCTGGAAATGAATGTTTGGCATAATATTTGCAATGCAGTTAAAGTTTGGTTTTTAATCAACCTACAACAAGATTATAGCGAGCCATGGGTGTCTGCTTTACAAGCAAATCCTTGTTGTTTGCAAATATTTCTTAGTCTTGACAAAAGAGAAAGATATAAGACTGATGTTGCGAGCAGAACACATTCAGTAACTGTTGAAAAATCCAGGCACTTCTTCAGTGTTTTTACCAGAGTTTTTATAACAGTTTGTAGTAACTTGACAACATTCTACTGTGTTCAAATAGACTTTATGTAAGTTTTTACTGAAAGAGTATATATAAAACAGCCTTTTTATTTAATATTTTAGGCTAAAACATCTTTTGATGAGCAAACTGACACCTCAGTGGTTCAGCGATGATGCAATTATAAGCCTGTAGCCTTAATCTAATTCAGATATGACGTTGAGAGCGTCCATGTTAAATGGATCCAACCAAGCAAACAATCAAAATGTTAGATTTAAGATGAATTTTGTGGACAATAAGAAGCGACTGGCATCCCGCTGAATTTAGACACCAATTGTAAGTCCTGGTAAGATGAAAAAAAGCAAAATACAAAAACCTTGTTAAGTATGACCACAAGCCATGAGGACGAGCAGAAAAGGGCTGCAGTTCTGTGTTTTGGCCACAGGCGGCAGTATCATTAATAACCCTCTAATGCCTCTTTTTTTTTTTTTTTGAGTTTTTTTTTAGTTTTTTTGGCTCTAGTGGCTTGTTGGACAGTAGGCTGACAGGAAAGGGGGAATGAGAGATGTTGACATGTGGGAATGAGACATGTGGGAAACGACAACAGGCCGGATTCGAACCCGGGTCACCCGCGTCAAGGATTATGGCCCACAAAGCACATAGCCGGCACTGTAATTCCTCTTTTGTGAATGTATATGTATTTAAAAGAAAGTGTTTATAGATGTAAGTGCGAATAACTTTAAAATGTGTTTGTGTTCTTATCCTGGATTGACCCTTCCTACGAAAAAAATCTTTATCATCCTTTGTAATCCCTCAGCTAACTATTGCTTTAGATGCACATGTAAATGGATAAGTGGGAGAAAAGCTGAGCAGGACAGCTGGACTTCATCTCAGATTTCACTGTAATTAATGGCAGATGTGAGTGCAAACAGGGCCAACGCCAAAACTGAACCAAACGGTGTTTCAGCGAAGCATTCATACAACATTCATTACTTATGCAATGATGTTAATGTATTATTTTCTCGAGTACGAGTACGAGTACGAGTAAAATATATATATATTTTTTTCAGATGGATTATTGGACACAGTGTTAAAAAGTTGATAAATTAATTTTGTCATTTATATCACATTAATCTGACATTTTAAATGGGGTGTGAACACATAAAATGAACAAAAACACAAATATTGCTTATATGGAACCAATTAGAGCAAACTTAGTCGAGTATCCTTAATCAAAACAACCTTTAGCGATGCACAACCCATTTCCACACTCTCCATTACCTGATGCTTCAAAGCATAAGAATGTTTATAAAAAGTGCCCTGAAGTTTGAGGTAGCATTATATAACAGCATTAAAATCATTGAACAATGTTTCCCATATGGGACACAGCGAGTCGTTATGTTTTTAGTGAAGGACACTCCTCTGACATCTCAGGAAAATATGTCAACTACGTATTAACAAAGAGCAAATAGATGACGTCATGAACTAGAGAAAGAAAAGGTTTACAGAGCTCTAATACTGTTTACTAATTGGATATATAACATTTGGCGAACTGTAGAAGAAAAGATAATCTGAGTGGAAAATTCTGAGAAAAATAAAGCTGCTATGATGTGTATACACCCAAAAAATGTATACTTGGCCTTCACAGGCAGCCAGCTATCAGAGTTCAGGCATGCATACACGATGAAATCCTGGATACATTAACAAATTATCGTAAATGCTAACACATGCTCTCACACTAACACTTCACCCATTTTCCTGTCTGCAGAAACAGAATTTCCTATGGGGCTCAGGGTCACATGAAAATGTTGGTATGTGGTCGCCTGGCAGCCACTGAGGAAACATCAGTCGTCAGGAGCGGAAAGAGACACAAAGGGAAGAGGCATAGAAGGCAAAGTAAGAGAGAACAAGAGACACTAGGAGGAAACAAACCACAACAGTGAGTGACGGCTGGAGAGAAACATGTTTAGTTCTTCCTATTCATAATCTGTCTGAGTATTACTAAAGTATAGGAAGATAACATTTTTAATTGTTAATTAAGTTGCATTTGTGCAACTGTTTGTGAGAAAGAGAAAAAGAAACAATCAGAGTCATCAGTAATATATTTTAGCGATGGTAAAAGCAAAAACAAACTGTTTCATGGAAGGAATTGTAGGGAGGGAATTCTTTGTTTTTAGTTCCTCTTTGTTTTGTAATTTAGCACACTGACACAGAAATGAATGCTTTCTAAATCATACTTAAAGTAGACAGGGATTTTTAGAGAAAATCCAGAAAAATCCAAAGCTTACACAAAAATGTTGGAAAAAGAACAGGTTTGCATGTGATTGAGTGAAATAAACATTTGAAACATGAGGCAGGAAACATGATGTAGAGCTGTGCTTTTCATAACAGGCCTCGTCTCCGTAGATGCTAGTTTCCAGGTACTGCTATTTTGAAAAGGAATTTATAGCAGGAGTTAGACTGTTTTCAGTGCAACATCTAATGCCATAAATCAAATTAAAAGACAAAAAAAAAAGAACATTTCCAGCATTGCATCATTACATTATGGTTTTGTAAGATGTTCACATTAAACCCTGAGAATAAATTAAAATTTGGTCCTAATGTGTTGGACTCCATTTTTAATGTGACAGTGGCTTTGAGTGCAGGAGTTTGCCCTGCAATTGGAGGGTTGTCGGTTTGAGTCCGGCTCCGGCTTTTAGTTTCGTTGTGTCCTTGGGCAAGACACTTCACCTGCATTGTCTACTGATGGTGGTCAGAGGGTAACTGTCTAGCCCTCAGAGTAAGAACCATTTTTCCAATTTCACCATCAGTCTGAGAACCAGTTGTTGCAAAGAGAGGACATTTTGCTGGTCGTCACATGCTATTTTGCTAAAGGTTAGGTTTAGGGCTAAGGTGTCAATGGGTTCGGGTTAGGGTGAGGTATGCAATGGTAATGTTTAGGTTTAGAGTTAGTTTCAGAGTTAGGGCAAAGAAGTGGTCGAAAAAGACTCAAAATCAATGTAAGTCAATGGGAGTCAACACATGGTCCTCACTACAATGGCAGGTATGGAAAACCCAAGCTTCATCAGCACTGGTTGTGTTTCCGAACCATCTACTTCTTTGATTGAAGGCATTTTTTCTGTAGGTTTTCCACAGGTCAAAATGAGGATTTTGACTCCACAGAAACTCTTAAATAATTCTAAAACACCCTCCAACTCAAACTTTCAGCTTCATCCAAATGGCTTCTTTAGGGTTGACTTCTTTATTCTCTCTGGTCTAATGCATCTCTTTAGTTACAGACATGATGTAACTAATCCCCATTCAATCTCCACTGTTTAGGATGAACGTTTCAGATTTTCAGCATCTTTCTAATTATTTGGCTTTTTCCAAGAGCCCATAAAGCTGGTATTCAGGTGGTATACTTGTCTCAACAAAGTACAGCTAAAAGCCAAATGTTTCCACTACCAATTGTTACTTAGACAATCTTCCTTCAATATACTTTTTCTGTAAAAATTATATGATGAGTTGATATCGAAGACCTTAATGATGATCAGATCTTACAATAGCTCCACCTCCCACATCTAGATCGAATTACTTCAATTTTTTATTGAAAAACACCAGCCCATACTGCCTTCAGATCAAAGGGTTAGTGAGGTGATTATTTACCTTTCTCATCATTGTTTTCCTTCCATGTGCTCAAGTCTTGTAGACAGACTTCTATAAATTCATACTACTTAGATTTCTCCCAACATTTAGACGAATATCCTGATCAAAATTTTTTTGTTATGATGGTCTAAGAGTCCCTGAGATCATCTGAAAGCCATTTTGTTGTTCTTGTGGTCGTGTAGAAAGAGTTAAATGAAAGGGTTTTATCCCCATAATGAGTAGTATGTGATCAATTGATCTGTTGATTGATTGATCAAATGTTTACTTAATGACTTACATCTCAACTCTGGACTTTCGTTTTAAAATTTGACCCTTCACATCAAAAAAGAAAACAACAAAATGGAAAGAATCCTAACATTTGTGAGTGAACAAAATAAAAAAGGGAGAAGCCACACAGCAAAAAAATATGGAAACAAATAGAGAGAAAACGATCAGCAAAAGTGCAAAATAATAAATCGAATAAAAGAGGTTAGTTAGTATTACTGGAACTAATAATGACAAATAGAAAGAAAACAAGGAAAAATAAATCCAGTTAGAGAAAAGATGTTTATTAAGAGCTTTAGAACAAAGGGGAAATTTAGCAAAAACAATGTGCTGATACAAGGTGCAAAAAAAGCATCTTTTAACCCTTACAAAGTCCAGAGATTCATTCAAAGTGGGAAACCATAAAAACACAGTTAGTGTGGAATCAAACCAAATTTCTTTAAATATTAAAACTGAACAAAATGACTAGAATGAATAAGAAACCAGATCAGTTTTCAAAGCCAATAGAAAGTCTTGTCTTGCTGGCTGCCATGTTAACACTGGGACTGTTTCTTACCATTTCTCTGGGGAGGAACATCTCATCCTGCCGTAAGACCACCAGGGACACAGTCTCCCCCTGACGAGTGCTGCGGAGCATACACACTAGCTCCTCCTGGCCCACCCCGATGGTATCCACACCGTTTACCTAAAAACACCCAAATATCAAGCTCATCTTGAATAGATATGTTAGGATGTAGAGACAAAAAGAAACATCCAGGTAAGCTCTCCTCTACCTCCAAGATGCGGTCTCCAGACTGAAGCCGTCCATCTTTGACAGCAGCTCCTCGTGGCAGAATGTTTTTCACTAGAATAGGACCCGGGCCGTGTATTGAGGAATCTCTGGTTACAACAGTAAATCCGAGACCCTCTGAACCTACAATCCCAACCACAGAGAGAGGCAAAAATCAGAGCTTTGCTCCAAATGACTGAATACATTTCAGCAGGATTTTAAGGTGAAGATCTGAATTCAACCTTCAATACAAAGATACTTTTAAACTATTCAAAGAGCTTCAGTGAAGCGTTGTTGATTCAGCTCCTGACCCCATCTAATGTATTCTATGTGTGATAACTTTGAGCCTTTGGAGATTGAGTGTCTCGCTTTAAATCTTCAAGAAACATGTGCAGCTACACGTCTGCAAGCATAAAGGGTTTGGATGGTTCAGGAGAAGGTAAAAAAAGAATGACAAGAAGAGAAAAGTAAAGATGGCAAAAACGAAATATGGAAATATTTTCTATTAATATTGCTGCAATGAGGGAGGAAGGAAAGAAAGAAAAGATAGCTGGTTGGAGAAAAGGGAGGAGGTCAATGTATGAAAAGAGGGTTCAGCTAAAGGTCAAAAAGGATGGCAAGACGAGTAAAAGTGAAATGAATGAAAAATATTGGAAACATAGAGACAATGTTCTGGAAAATAAGAAGATAAAGACAGAAAGCTTAATCAGAGAAAATATGTGCACATATAAATGTGCATCAAAATGCCTCACACACACGGCTGTGAGAACATAAAGAGGTTGCACACAGACAGTTGGACTGGTTGTGTGGTTTATAGACCTCATTAAGTCTGGTCTCTTTAGCAGAGCCAAGTCAGCAGTTTGGTCTGCTATGAATTCATATCAGCAGAAATGAACAGATCAATAAAGACTTAATAGACCCTGAAGAGAGGGAATGTGGAAGATGGAGGGAGGAAAAGGACTTTGCCTGATAGGTTTACAGAAATGAGAACAAATCCATACGAACTGGTAAGGCAAACACCTCCTCAAACTACAGTCAACGTCTTAACTTCTAGACTTTCACTCAAAACAATTAAATGAATAATCTGAGAAGGAAATAATGCAACATAATTATTATAAATATGATCAAGATTTCAATGTAGCTCTCATAAACTGAGGACCAACATTCAATGCTAAATGGTTAACTGAACAAAACCTGGTAAAATTTGGTCTTAATGCAGTTTCTTTACTTATCTAGATGTTTCCAACCTTTCTTTAAGTCAATCTGCAGCCTTCGTCCTCCTCTTTTATTGGACACCAAACTGGACAGCGCAGGACTTTTCCTGTGGAGGGGGCTCTCCCCCCTTTCCTTAGGGCTCTACATTAAGAAAATGCAGTTTTAGTGTTTTAGTTTAAAAAAAAACTAAAAATGAACACAACAGTGACAGTTCCATTTAGGAGTTATAAACAGAGCTCAGATAAAACCTCCTGGACTTTATGACGATGGATGGATGGATGGATGGATGGATGGATGGATGGATGGATGGATGGATGGATGGATGGATGGATGGATGGATGGATGGATGGATGGATGGATGGATGGATGGATGGATGGATGGATGGATGGACAGACCGATGGATCTATGTATGTATGGATGGATGGATGGATGGACGGACAGACGGACGGACCGATGGATGTATGTATGGATGTATGTTTGGATGGAGGGATGGATGGACAGACGGACTGGTGCTGGATGGGTGGATGGATGGATGGAAGGATGGATGGATGGATGGATGGATGGATGGATGGATGGATGGATGGATGGATGGATGGATGGATGGATGGACAGACGGACCGATGGATGGATGGATGGATGGATGGATGGATGGATGGATGGACGGACAGACGGACCGATGGATGGATGGATGGATGGATGGATGGATGGATGGATGGATGGATGGATGGACGGATGGACGGACAGACGGACAGATGGATGGATGGATGGATGGATGGATGGATGGATGGATGGATGGATGGATGGATGGATGGATGGATGGATGGATGGATGGATGGATGGATGGGAACAAAGTAACTTAATCAACATCCACTACAATGCAAAAAAGGATAGCCAAGACAAACTGCTTACTCTTCCAGCTGTTTGTGAAACTGTACTGAGTTCCAGCATGACCAACAAAACTTATTTTTAATAAACTAATGTAATAAGCGGTTGCTAAGAAACTGGTCCTTCTTAGCCAGTTGTTTTTCAAATGTCAGCCAAGTAACCATAGCAATGTTGACGACATGGTTACATGTGTTTGGTTTTATGGGCTCTTTAGCTCTAGGAAGAAGGCGGACATACTGTAAGGTAAAAATAATATACCACTGATTGCTTATAAAATTTGAAATGACATAAGAAAAGGCAGAAATAAAAACAGGTGTTGGAGGAATGCAGTAAAGATCATAAATATGACTCTTTAGACTCAAAGTTTTTGTTCATAAATGTTACTTAATAGTGGAGTTAACACCAACCTGATGAAGGTTTTTCAGCTTTAAGTGAATCCATGTTCTTCTCAATATCTGTGCTTTCTAGTTCTTATATCCCTGTAATACTGCTGAGCTATTTGCCTCATATCTTAGTGCTATGTGGTGTGATTTGGTTTAAATAAACAAAAACAAACTCACGTTGACAGCTTCAAGAACGGGAGGTTCTTCTCCCACTCTTGCAGTTAAATTTTCAGGAGGTTTAAACACAGGTTTGGCTTTGACTGGCGGTGGTGGTTGTTTGGTCTTGATGACTTGATGAGGGCTGCTGTTTGGAGCCGAACTGTTGACCAAAAGCTGACCAATCAGACTTTTCTCATAGCGCTCTCTGTTTGATGAGGACACGACTTCCAAACGGACAAGTGGGGACCGCATCGCCTCACGAAAGATGTCCTGAGATCTATGAGGACAAAGTGGGAAAGATGGATGGAAAGAGAAAGACTGAAAACATGAGGTAATGAGTTTTTTTTTAAGAGAAAATAAAGGCAATTAGCAGTTAAAATGATCATTTCATCATTTATAATAACATTTAAAGGGTACTTATCAGTTTCTGACAGGAAAATTAATTATACTATGGGATGGTATAACAAGATTAGAGGAAAGAAAGATGCAATTAATACATCTGATCACGCATGATTAATTCAAGTCTGTGCTAAATACTTGGTTCTTTGAATTATAGGAAATTTGGTCTCATATTTTTAAGGCATGAATAAGAAAATCACAAATTGTGAAACTGTTTCCTTACTTTTTTTTCCCTAATATGTCCTAAATATGAGTATAAAACATTTTATCGTCCTCTTTAATTACTGAGGGTTTTATTTTTGGCAGAGTTTCCCTTTGTCATTTACTTTCTGTGCGTTCATACCTAACAGTTCAGGAAGCATATAGCCATAACACCAGGACGCAAAGGCCATTAGAAGCTCATAAAGAAAGAAAAAGATCATTTTACAGGGAACTAATTTAAATCAGATCATGCTAAGTAGGTTACAGGAACTACAGTGTCAGGAGCAATTGGTAATCAACATCATTCACCACAGAAAAGCAATGGAATAACTCCAGGTAATTAACATTTCATTTGATTACACTCCTGTTGTTGTCTGACTAGTTTATGATTATTAGTGTAGACTAAGTTTAGAAAACCAGAGGAAAAATTCCTCCATAGCTTGATGGAAAAAACAACAAGTAGTAAAACTTGTAAAATGTATAATACTCAGATTTAGACTATGCTGTTAAGAGTACATCCTGTTTACATTTGAAAACAAAATAGGGGGTGTGCTCGACGTGGGCGACCCGGGTTCGAATCCGGCCTGTGGTGCTTCCCCGCATGTCACTCATCCTCTGTCATGCCCCCTTTCCTGTCAGCCTAGTGTCCATAAAAGGCGAGCCACTAGTGCTGTTAAAAACTCAAAACAAAAAAATAAAGTAAAATAGATAACTTGACCTACGGCTCGTTTACACGGCAGGATTTTAGAATTGTCAGGCAAGTTTCCAAAACGTAAAATCGTAGGGAAGTGGCTGTTCCAACCGTTGCATTTCCAAATTCTCCCCAGTGGTCAACGACTTTACAGGAGTGAATAAAGTGAATGTGATTGGTCGTTTATCAAGAGGTCGGGATTGTCGTGTAGGGCTGAAACGATTCATCGAGTAACTCGATTACAAAAAATCCTCGAGGAAATTTATCTGCCTCGAAGCTTCGCTAAATTTATTGTATTGTAATAAGCAATGCTGTTAAATACGCAGCACACTGGTCTAGCCGGAGGGTTTTTGTGTTGCACAACGCTACCACTTCCGTTAGCGCCTGGAGCGCTTGTGCAAAGTTTGTAGCTATGGAGGGAACCGGAGAATGCTCAGAAGGAGAACCCCGAAAGCGACAAAAAATGTCAAAAGTTTGGGAACATTTTAGGCTAAACAGAAAGGACAACACAGCGCAATGCATCCACTGCAAAGCAGAATTGGCGTACCACAACAGCACGACATCAATGTTGCAGCATCTGAAGAAAAAAAACACCCGCTACATGCATCCAACTCGTACACGGTTGCCAACAGGTAACGTTTATGTTCTCTTTGCTAACTACGTTGTGTGATAATCTGCCATGTTATAGATGTAAATTGAGGCACATTATTTTGCTAACGTTACATCTAAACATAGCGGTTACTTAACTGGGTGTAGTGTAAATTGTATGTGAGGGTGTTCATAAAAATATGCAGCAACAGATTACAGGCATAAGCTGAAAAGCATTTATTTATTGGTGTCTTTCCATCCTGAAAAGTTACAGTCTTTTCTTCTCGCTACTGTTATGTATGAATTAGAAATTTTTGATTAATATTTTTTGTAGTAATTCTATATTTGTTTATACCTAAGCAATCAAGAATAAATAATAGCATCGTTTTAATAAAAATAGCAACATTTTTGCATTTTATCATGACTAGTTAAGGCTGCAGAACCGTACAAACTCAAACCTTTACATTTTGAGTAAATTTATTTTTTTCCTAACATATAGATTACATTCTGTAAACTTTCTAAACTACAAACATTTAAATGTTAGGGATGCTCAAAAAGGAGATATTGGACTGATCTAGACTAACTGGTGTTATTGCAGATTTGCCAATAGTTTAGTTTATAATTTTTTTTTATCCGATTACTCGATTAATCGTAAGAATAATCGATAGATTACTCGATTACTAAAATATTAGTTTACAACAGCCCTATTGTCGTGGCGGAAGGTTTGCAAGCTATTTGGTTGTGGCCGGTTTCTCGGAAGCATCTTGCTAGCCAGTTAGCAACTGAGTGCTAGTAAGTTCCCAATGGGAAAAAAAGAAAGCGAGGATGAAGAAGTTGTGGAAGAGGACGCCAGGGTGGCAGAAGCTTGGTTTGGTGTAGAAGGCTTACAGCCGTACATGTTTGAGCCCTTGCCTCGCAACGCTGCCAGTTCTGTTAGCTCTACGCCTGCAGAAGACACAGACGTCCATCCCCGTAAACACTGGGACGGAACTCAACGGTAAAGTAAATGACTCTTATTTCTTATTTCAACCGTTGCGTATATTAGCTGCAACATATGAATGAAGATGCTATGACCGAAAAAATGTAGGTGTACAAGCTGATGTATAACTAACTGGCCTGCATAAGATAATAAAAAATAAAAAATAAAGAAATTTTCTAAATTTTGGGACAATATTGTCTGATAAAGGGTACATTTATAAACATGTTTAAGCCAGAATGATTTGACATTTAAATATGATGTCCATACGACTTTAGAGATCCCACAGGTGAAGATAAAATAAATTGTGTAAAGAACAGTTTTGGTCGTGTTAGATGTCCCCTCCGGTCACACCACATTTCACATGAGATGATTTTGACGCTATCAATGCTCATCAAGCAAAGAGAGCAAACAAATTTGCTGTAATTATTGGGGGGAAGTAGCTTTAAGATGTTTTTAAGTACACCTTGAAATGTAATAGATGCAGTCAGTTCACCAGGATTATGATCCTAGCTATAAATATTCTTTAGTTGTTTGGAGCAGCAGACCGTAGATTATCAGCAGGCTGTCGCTCTGAGACAGTGACAGCTCCCTTAGCCGGCCAATCACTCAGGGATTTCCGTCTGTTCTGCATAGCAGCTGGAAATGAATATACAGTGTTTTCTAGGTGGTAAACTCTACAAGTACCAGGTTATAAAATCAAATGCTTTTTAACCATCAAGTTTTTATCATTGAGGTTAACGCAGGTTTGCATTGCAAACTGCTTTTCATCACAATGCAGTGACAAAATACTTTAGCAGAGAAAACAGGGTACTCTCAGTTTTCTTTGTACATGAAAAAAAAACAGATTTTTGTGGCCTTTGCATGTAAACCTATTAGGGTGTAACCCCTGTATATACATTCATGCCCTTTTATTTTCTTCTCTCAGCAAGCTCTTGGATCAGATTCTCTGATTTGCAGCCTTTCAGGCGAAGATGATCCAGTTGGATATCCCTGATTTACAAACAGAGGAGTCCCGACGTTCTACCAAACAGACCTGCTTACAAGAAACCACACACAGCAGGATTATCTTACTGATTATCGGCCCCGACAGGCTCCTGATTTCGAGGGCTCTTGGAAGGGAAAGATCAGGCAGTAAACAGCACAATTATCTTGTCGTGTGGAGCAGCATTCAAAGCACCATATTGCCTGGTAAAAATATTGTATATCAACCTGACCAAGTACATGATTTTTACATAAAAATCACATCTGTACTTTTGCATCCTGTTGTATAACACTGAGGTTGTATGTCACTAAACTAATGGTTAGGGAAGGAAATGAACAACATATTTCTAAATGTTTTCCAAATAAATATTAATGTTTGGGGTTTATTGGTTTTCAGCTACCTTGAGTCATCCTGTTGTAGAATCTCCTGTTTTTATGAAAGTCTTCTGGATTATTTTTCTATAGCTCACATTTACAGACTGAATTATTTGTTTAATCTTAAAGCTCAGATTTGATGGATACTATCTCTTTCCAGCCTCTCCATTGAATTTAGACCCGTACTTTAGGTCATTCTAACATATGAATAAGGTTAAATCAAAACAACTTCAGTGTGACCCTGGCTGTATGTTAAAGGTTGACGTTTTACAGGAGGGTGAGTCTCTAATCTGTAGTAAAGTCAAAAAGTCTAAGTTGGAAGCATCTGATGGGAACAGCTTTCTCTACTTAATTCATCTGTAATCTAAACGAACAGTGGCTGCTTACAAAACGGATCTTTTCTTCCAAATTTCGAGTTTTCTCTTGCTACTTGGTTCTTTAAAGCCAGATTTAAAACTAGAATAAAACCACATAATGTGAAACCAAATGTCTTTTTTAATTTAAAGGTTCTTTATTGTATGTTAGTAAATGGTTTATCAAAATATACTCTTTATAAATATATTTGCTTCTAGTCCAAACAAATTTAGTCCCATCCCCCCTAATGTGATTACTCTGTATTCATTACATGAATTATTCTTGGGGATAAGTGAAAAACTGATCTGTGTTTGGAACGTTTTGATTAAGTTGAGCCTTCTGAGTTAAAATAAAATTAAAAGTCCTAATCCAGACCTTAAACTTGTGTGTGTGAGTGTGTGTGTATATATATATATATATATATATATATATATATATATATATATATATATATATATATATATATATATATATATATATATATATATATTTCCTTCTTATGCATACATATCGTTCTCATGCATTGCCTGATTTCTCTAGAGTTGTCTTAGACTGCTCTATTTATATTGTTGTTCGATAGCTTTCCTTAATGTCATTGCAGCATACTTTATGTGTTTTCTTTTGATTTGCTTGTGTAGACACTTTGAATGTTCTTCTTACTGAATATAGTATACAAATAAACTTGCCTTGCAATATCACTTCACTTAGAAATAAGAAAAAACAAGCAGTGAAGCAATTTCAGCTAAACTTGAAATAGTCACATTTCTAATTTATGATAAATGTTGAAGTTTAAGTTCAAGGCATTAATTTTTATGCCTTAATGTCACTTTATAAAAACAGTTGATATGCAAAGTTATCCATCTAAACAAAGTTTTAGCCTCCAAGGAAAAACAAAGATAATCAGTTGCACTCACTGGCTAAATGTCTTGTCCATGAGGTCAGTGTTATTGATTTTCACAATGCACTCATCCTCTTTAAACAAGCCTTCCTTTCTTGAGCGGCTCTCTTCTTCCACACCACGGATATACAGACCAAGAGACCTGTGCCAAAAAGAAAAAACTAATTGAAATTATTGCAAATACTTCTTCTTAACATAAAACCATACGATTCTATGATTCTAATATATATATATATTATATATATATATATTGTTTTATTTAAATGCCAGACTGAATATTTAATGTGAAATGTTAACGGTTAAGAACAAAATTCAAGTTTTCAAGGAGGCAATGATTCTAACACCCGCTATAGAGGTCAACTCCACAACAATAAAGAGACAGGTCAAGAGGAAATAGCGATGGCAAATTATAAAAGGAAACTGGAATGAGAAGAGGAAAAAAGGAAGAATCAGACCAGAATGGGGAGAAAGAAGAGCAGAAAGAAAGCTGCAGCATCCAAAGGAGTCATGAGAACAATCGTAAAAAGTCATCATGCTTTCCTTTAGGAAGTTTCTCTTCCACCCAGCATCACGCAGTCAAAACACTGCGAACAGAAAAAAATTCTGTCTTCCTGTATTTTTTTTATTTCTTCTCTATGTCTCCAAAGTTTATGTAAAGCCATGTTCAAAATGGCAGCATGCTGGGAACAGTGGTGCAGATTTAGGCCTGTGTGTTATATTTATAAAAGGTTGTGGTTAAATGTGTACACAACTTACCGTCCACTGAATGAAGAGCAGTAGGGAACTACATGGATACCAAGAGGACTGTCTTCCCCCGGGATCTCTACTGTTCTGGTCAGACTAGAGAAAGAAAAAACAAAAACAAATAAACAGTAAAAAGAAAAAGAAGTTAAAAGGATGTTTTTGATAGATGACTTCAATTTAGTTTATTTATCTAGCGCCAATTCACGACACATGTCATATCAAGGCACTTTACAATTCACCAGATCACAGAGTGAAATTAATTCAAAGTATTCCATCTAAGGAAAACCAGTTAATTGCATAGATTCATTTACTTGAATGCAATCCCTCACACCAAGCATGCTTGCAGCGACAGTGGAGAGGAAAAACTTCCTTTTAACAGGAAGAAACCTCCAGCAGAACCAGGCTCAGTGTGAGCTTGTGACTTGTGCTTTATAACTGCAATTATAAACTTTTCTTTACTCTAACAAATAATGATGAATTTGAGATGTTGATGGATAAAAGAAAAATGTAAAAGGCATTTGAAAAAACAAAAAAGACCAAACCAAAAAAAAATAAATGTCCAAACAAATCAATGTATTGTTCGGTCTTTCGTTTTTTTGTTTCAGAACGGGAGCAAAGAGAGAAAAAAAAGGTTTGTTTGTTTTTTGTTGTTTAATAGCATACACATATTTCAAATAATGTGCGTTCTTTTATTTTTAGCTAATACAGTTGGAAACGCTGATAAGTTTTTGGCAACTGTCACTTTTTTAGATTAAGCTAAAATCCTGCACAACTTCCTTAAGTGACTGGAAATAGCTGCAATCAAGCACTGATTATCACGCTCCGTGCTTTTGCTTTGAAGTCTGGATACCAAAGTGATGGCAGGAAATGATGCCTGGATGATGACAGCTGAAAATCATAGAGGACGCTGATTTCATAGCAGTGAATTCCTTAAGTTTAACACTAGACACACATTATAACCTGTGATCAACACATATATATAGGACAAGACGTTGGTGCTTACTGAAAATGCATTGTACTAGATAATAATTTTTAGATTAGATTTATTAAGGCCGACTCGGCAGGAGACCTGAATTGTGTCAATCTCAATATTATAAGAGTAAAAGGCTGTACATGTCACATGGGGGCCTGAGTTCTGAGGGCATGAAGAGAAGAAGAAATGGTCCACTAACAAACATTACATACTTTAATATAGAGGAAATATTAAAACAGGGACAGTTACAGGTACCAATGTTCAGAAGAAGTTATTGATTTAAACTCTCTAAATTTCCTATCATTAGAGGAGTAGTGCTTGCCGTTAGCAAGTTGCTAACTGGTTAGCAAGATGCTTCCGAAACACCGGCCACAACCAAAGAGCTTGCCAACCTTCCGCCACAAAAATTCTGCCCTCTTGATAAACGACCAATCACATTCACTTTATTCACTCATGTGAAGTCGTGCACCACTCGGGAGAATTTGGAAATGCAACTGTTGGAACGACTTTATAAAGGCAGACCGCAGACTTTGTGACCTAGAGTTGTTACATGGGGTTATTTTAAATGAATTCTCTGGCAAATATACAGCACTTGACATTATCAATGGTACAAGCGTGGCCCTTCAACAATGGACACTAGACAAGCAAGCTTAAAGAAACTGGAATCCTGAATCCCTACTAAGAAGTAATATTTACCCTTATTAATATTACCCACCTGTTGCTTAGAGCAAGTAGGTAACAGACTTACGACAAATTCAGCTTATTACTGCAGTCTTGTCAGGAAGAACACAGATGGTTCTGGTGTGGAAAACCACTCCGATGGTTACCAGTTAATGTTAGAACTACAGCTGAAAAGTCACTCTAGAGGGACAATACTCTGCACAATCTGCAAACGTACCTGAAAACTACAAGTAGAACTGGCAGGTTTTCATTGTATATTTTCACACAGTACATTGATGCATGAAAAAGAATATATTTACTAACATAACCATAACATTAATACATCTAATGTTAGGAATAAATATTAAAAATGAAAAAATACTTCAGCAGCAGCAGTTATACGTGTTGCTTTGCTGTTTGTTTAAATAGCATAATTTCAAGGTTATTATCCTCTAAGAATCAAATTCTACTTCGTGCTTTTATAATGGGGTTTCTAATCTTTACTTTGAGTTGCATTATTTTAATGAAAGCTGCAGTTAAGGCATATTTTCCAAGGTTAAACATTAAAAAGTTAAAAATGGGTGTTTGAAATGCAACATACATAATGGGCATTGCAGTGACTGACACCCTGAGTCTGACTCAGATCCAAAGTCCTTAAAGGGCAAGTGTGTTTCTGGAGTCGTTCCCTAAGCTTGACTCAAGACAAGTATTCAGTTGCCAGGCATTTATCTCTCTGCACATATGATACCCAAAGGCAAGAGGTCAGGGGACAATGTGAAAGCTAGAAAGGGATTGGATGCATGTTGTTAAAAAAACAAACAAACTGAACAACAGTGATCCGTATCTTCTCTGAAAGCTTGCGTCTGTTGAGTAAAAGTTTGCAAATGGTGTCACTCGACTGACTCTTGATTATAAACAAATCCACCGCTGTGCTGACAATATGCCTTTGTGAAGTACTTAATCTGTGTCTGTAGACACAGGCCTCAGAGAAGGGAGAGCTCTACTCAATTTAAACCTAATAAAGGCACAGACTACAGTGGATGTATGTTTGAAGAATACATTTTTGTGTCTTCCTTCTCTGTGGATTTCTTCCTTCTTTCAACCTCTTAATGTCTGTGAAACTGGTGAGCCCTCTGGCTCAGGTTTCACTGCAGGATGGCCACCCAAATGGAATGAAAGCACTCAACAAGGAGGTCCAGTGCAAATGACGTGGTGTATATTTATTTACAGTGCTCTAACCAAAAAGTGCAGTAACAAAAAGACTTTCCAAAACATAAACAAAATCAACACGATGGTTGTTCAAAATAATAACTAATAATAAATCTAAGCACAGAGAGCAATACCTCTTTTGAACACGACAGTCTCAGGCACCAACCTTTCTCCTAGCATCCAACCCCCAAACTGAGGAAAAAGTAGGGTTTTTATACAAACAGACATAATTGGCAAATTGCATGCCTACTGGACTAAATCACTGACTGATTGGATGAGACCACTATGCAAGAAAAAAAAAGGTACAGCTGAAACAATGCACTACTTCATTTTCACTGTTAAATTACATGCCTAAGCAATCTACATTAACCACATTACTGTATGCATACATTCAATAAAACACATTTCTCATTACATCAACATTACACCTAAAAATAGCATTTTAAATGCATCAAACACTCAGTTTCACCCCGTCAGGTAATCAAAGCCTCTGATTGGCTGAATGAGACATAAATTATTCCCCTACCCACAGTTCGTGTTTCCCAGGGGAGGAGAAGTTGTCGGACCAGGAAGTGTGTGTGCGCGCGTTTGTGTTTGTGTGTGCAATGTGTGGAAACTGGAGCGGTATGGGATTATGGAGCGATATCGGCGGGTACCTCACCGAACGCTGCGATGGCTGGTCACTCAGGTAAGTACTGAAAGTTTTTGGAGTGTTGGCGTGACAAAGAGCTCTCATATGCGGTTGCCGGCTCCGCGAGTGAAAGTCTCAGATTCGTGTGTGCGCGCTTGTGTATGGAGGTGTGTGCAGGTGTGTGTGACGTTAGCCAGCTACATTGTAGCGTGCTGTTCTGTGGCATTTGTGAAAAGGGAGGGCTGCCTTTTCACATTTCCCCCTTCCTCTGGAGGCTCGCCACTTGGGTGGCGAGACAGATAATCCGCCACTGCATTCTGCGTGCCCGCCCGATAGCGGACCTGGAAACTGTATGGCTGCAAGGCCAAAAACCAACGGGTGATGCGGGTATTTGTGTCTTTCATCTGCCCGAGCCACTTCAAGGCCCGGTGGTCAGTCTCTAAAACAAACTGTCGACCCAAGAGATAGTAACGAAAGGAGTCCAGGGCCCATTTCACAGCAAGGCACTCCAATTCAACAGCAGAGTACCTTGTCTCTCTTGGAAAAAGTTTGCGGCTTATGTAAGCCACAGGTCGCTGCTGATCTCCTTCACCTTGAAGGAGCACGGCCCCCAGACCAACACCGGAGGCGTCAGTCTGGACGGTCATCGGCTGCTTGAAGTCTGGACTCTGCAGTACTGGCCCGCTGCAGAGGGCCTCCTTCAGGTCGTTGAAGGCCGTTTCATGCTGGTCCTCCCACCTGACTCGGACTGAGCCAGACTTCCTGGTGAGATTGGTGAGAGGGGCTGCTCTGCCACCGGTGTGTACCCCGGCTGGTCACTGAGCAGGCCTTCAGGAACAATGGCCTGTATCTCTTGCTGCTGCTGACGGGTTAGATGGGACAAGTCCAATGTCCCAGCTGGCTGTTCGGTCGGGAAGAATTGCTCAGGGGTGTCCTCCTCTTCCTTCACGGCCTGCACCAACAGCTGTGGACTAGGTGGTGCCTCCCTTTCATTCCACTCTTTCAGGAGGTTGACGTGGAACGCTTGCCGCTTCTTCCTCCTCTCTGGCATCTCCAACTCATAGGTGGTAGGCCCCAACTGTCTGCTGATGCTGTAAGGACCCTGCCACCTCGCCAGCAACTTATTCTCTTCAGTGGGCAGGAGAAGGAGGACTTTCTGGCCAGGCTGGAAGGTTCTCTGTCGTGCACTCCGGTCGTACCAGGTGGTCTGGGTCACCTGGGCACTCTGGAGGTTGTCTCGAACGAGGCTGGCCATCTCCTCCATCCTGTCCCTCATGGCAATGACGTAGGAGATCACGTTGGAGGTGGTGGCCTTGGGCGACTCCCAGGCATCCTTCAGCAGGTCAAGGGGTCCGCGCACATGTCTGCCGTACAGGAGTTCGAACGGCGAGAACCCCGTGGATGCTTGAGGTACCTCACGGTAGGCAAACATCAGGTACGGCAGCCAGCGGTCCCAATCTTTGCCGTTGGCAGACACAAATTTCCTCAGCATACCTTTCAGTGTCTGATTGTACCTCTCAACAAGTCCATCTGTCTGGGGATGGTAGGGAGTGGTCCTGATCGCACTAATACCCAACAACCCATAAACCTGCTTTAAGGTGTTTGAAAGGAAAGCTGTTCCCT